ACATAAAAATATTCATGCTTCACATTTTCCCATTCAGCAATAGTCTTTTACTCATATTTTGTTAATGTTTACTATATAACAAACTGATATGATCAAAGAATTAACATTAGTGTTTTTAATTAAAAAATTCTAATACTGAATAGGTAAGATTTTTTGGTCTTAGAAATGGTTCATTAGTTAAAAATAATTAAAGGCACGGCTGTTCTTTACTGCACGGTACCCCTTGATTTCTGACTGAAAAAATCCCCAAGTGGTATTGGTTGTTCATGAAATTTGGAAGCCCGCTGCGTGAAATAGATTTTTCGGTAACCCTAGTAGGTTAATGTTGGCAAAACTAGCCTCGGGAAAACTGTTTTTTTTTTTTTTTTCCCTTTAGTTTTTGTCATTAAAAGGGGGTTATTTCTGTGAATATCACCAAAAATGTTGTGATAAATTTAGATTTTGGCTATTTTTTGTAATAGTAAGCATTTTGTATGAACCTGGGTTTGGTTTTCAGTTGTCTTGCTTGCCCGTGCATGATATGGTCTTAGATTTTGAACTGGCCGTTGTTTTGCTGTGAATTTGCATCATTTGAATATGTCTGGGCTAATCTTTGGAATATGGTAACAGGTAGTTTGGCAACATTTTGGTAAGGCAACAAAGATTACTAGCTAGAACTTTAGCAGTGTACATGGATAAATTCAAGAGTGTGCGCAATGCCATTTTTGTGCAATTCTGGAATTTTTTTTAAGTGAAAATAGGTCGACGTGTACATAGACACCGTGTATGTGCAATTCTTAAAAACGCGGCAAGCAGTTTGCTATTCTGCACTTTCTTCCAATTTTGCACCTAATCTTCATTATGATTAAGCACTTTTGTTCCATAAAAGTTCTAGTATAAGCGTAATTTGGCTAGCAGATTGTTGGGAAAAAATGTTGAGTAAAAAAAAAAAATGCCTTTACTTCGTGAAAACAAAATACCGTCTAAAAAAATAAACTAGCAGGTTTCTCTAGCAGGGTTGGTCATCAAATTATCGCCAAGTTACCATAATCCAAAGATTAACCTATGTCTGAGGTGGATAAGAGGTTGAATGTTGATTAACAGCAGATGAGCCGAAGTTACCAAAAATTTAATCAAATTGCTCATGTGGAGGATGATGGAGATGGTGGTGGGAAGAGTGAACGTATGCACATGAAAAAAAGGTATGTTAAAAAATTGATGTCTCATTTATTCGTTAATTTTTGTTAAAAGATTTCTTGTTTAATGTTTTTATGCTAGGAAATATGTTTTTTAGTTATTTGTTCATCTCTCTGTGTTAAGCCAGCGGCGAATTTTCCCCGGTTAACATGACAGAGTAAAAGTACATTTAAGGGTACAAATTGACCTATTTTCACTTAAAAAAAACTCACAATTGCACAAAAGTGGCATTGCGCGCTCCCTAGACTTTACATTTGTACACTTTGACTGATTTTCACTTAAAAAAACAATCCGAGAATTGCACAAACTAGGCTTTGCACACTCCCTTGAATTTGTCCATGTACACATCAAACTATATGCACTTCAAAAGTCAAAGGAGCGGCCAACAAAAAAATATATAATCTCAATAAACTACATTTTAAATCAAACACTGAAATAACATGAAAAAGGAAATTCATCTTTGGAACAAAGGAAATATCCATTTACCTTATTTACGAATTCCCACCTCTTCAGTCAAAAAAAATTCCGGCTAATCTTTGGAATATGGTAATAGGTAGTTTGGCGACATTTTGTTAAGGCGATAAAGGTTACTAGCTAGGACTTTAGTAGTGTACATGGATAAAGTCAAGAGTGTGCGCAATGCCATTTTTGTGCAATTCTGGGAATAAGTGAAAATAGATTGATGTGTACATGGATACTGTGTATGTGCAATTCTTAAAAACGCGGGAAGCAGATTGCGATTCTGCACTTTATCTAAATTTCGCACCTAATCTTCATCATGATTAAGCATTTTTATTTCATAAAAGTTCTAGTATAAGTGTAATTTGGCTAGCAGATTGTTGGAAAAAATGCTGAGTAAAAAAAAACATGCCTTTACTTCATGAAAACAAAATGGCATCCAAAACAAAACTAGCAGGTTGCTGTAGCAGGGTTGGTCGCCAAATTTTTGCCAAGTTACAATAATCCGAAGATTAACCAAAATTCCTTAACAGCATCCAAAAACTTCCTCAAATTATCTGAATAAGAATCTATATACTGGCGTTGCCTCATTCACAAAATTAGAGTAAAAAATATCTTTCATAACAACGTTCGACCATACGCATTTCCTTCCTACAAACAGGACACCTTATAATGGCTACTAAGTAAACCTTCATTTACACACAAGCCAAGTAATACTCTTTTCCCCTTCCTTTCCAAATCGTGCAGAAACTTCAAATTAATCTTACCACATTCGGTCATTTTAACATCTAAACCACAAAACAAGCAATATACTTCCTAACCAACACACACAACCACAAGCCCTTATGAATTTACCGCAATAATTATGTCATAATAGGGATTCCATAACATTCAACTACTCAGGCTACCATAAATGAAACAACAATTTGGCGATAACTGAAACAACAACTCGGTGATAAATGAAACAACTTGGCGATAAATGAAATAGCAACTTCGCAATAATACAAGGGGTACCCTAAAGTCAATTCTAACTCAGTTTTAACCTTGTTTTATCTTCCTGACTTTGTTTAAGTGAAAACAGATCAATGTGTACATGGACAAAGTTAAGCCAGTGCACAATGTCTAGTTTGTGCAATTGTCTGACTTTTTTTTAGTTAAAATAGGTCGATGTGTATACGAACTAAGTTAAGGCAGGGCGCAATGCCCAGTTTGTACAATTTTCTGATTTATTTTAAGTGAAAATAGATCGACGTGTACATGGACACCGAGTTTGTGTAAATCTTTGACTTCTTGTTTTGGTTTCACGTAGAGGGCGGAAAGATCAATATCGTCTTGAAATTGGTGCCGATCCTTCCTAGCGCCAATTTTGACGTCAAAAAAAGAGAAGATTTTCCAGTAAATTTTAACCAAAGGCACTAATACTTAAGAAAGATGAGTTTTCATAAAAGACATTTTAACAGAGACTGACTTCTATTATTTCACATTGTGAAAAGAAGGCAAAAAAAAGTTACATTATGCAGCTATGCTATTTAAGTCATCAGAAATCATATTTTGCAAAAGATTACCAATATTCTGAAATCTTAGGAACTCAAAATTATTAATTTATACGATACTTATGTTCTTTTCAATCAGCAATTGTAGACAAATAAAAACTATTGCCAAACAATGCAATTTGGCACCAATTATGATTAAGCGTGATGTCACAACACACTCATAAGAATTTAATTTTGCTTTTACAGAACCTTGATTCTCAATAAGCCAGTTTAGTGTTTTGTGAAGAACATAACTTGGTTAATCTTTGTATTATGGTAAGTTGGCGACTTTTTGGCGACCAACCCTGCTAGTTTCTTTCTTTCTTTTTTTTTTTTTTTTTTTTTGTACGCCATTTTGTTTTTACGAAGTAAAGGCATTTTTTTTTTTTTAAACTCAAAATTTTTTTCCAACAATCTGCTAGCCGAATTACGCTTATACTAGAACTTTTATGGAACAAAAGCATATAATCATGACGAAGATTAGGTGCGAAATTGGGACAAAGTGCAGAATCGCCCACTGCTTGCCGCGTTTTTACGAATTGCACATACACGGTATCATCCATGTACAGTGACTTTTTCGCTTTAAAAAACATCCCAGAATTGCACAAAAATGGCATTGAGCATACTCTTGACTTTATCCAAGTACACTGCTAAAGTCCTAGCTAGTAACCTTTATTGCCTTACCAAAATGTCACCAGACTACCTGTTACCATATTCCAAAGATTAGCCCATAACTTAACTTCTGTTTCTATTTAGCATTGTAATAAATAAATAAATAAATAAATAAAGACCTGCCTTTTACAGACAGAAAGCAGTAGAATATTTTGAAAGTTTGTGTGACTGGTTATATTGTTGTTCATACTCAAAACACTGAAATCCTCCGAAGCTTGGCAAAATGGTGCAGTAAACACTATACAGCTCTACGTGACTCTATAGTGTTTATAGCACAATGCATGACTCTTCTTAGGTTTGTATTTAAACAAATTTATATAGCAAATGTTCATAATGAAGATGACTATTTTGTTGTGCTTTTAAATGCCATTAGGAATTAGAACAATTGGTGCAAATTTTAATGAATTTGTCATATAATCTCAAAATTTAAGCTCAAACTTTTTATATGGTATATCCATAATTTGCATCTGTTGATGATTATTTAATTAAATAAAGAATACTATATTCCTCCAAGTTTTTGCTAAAATAGCTAGTGCAAAAGTTTTGCAGGATTTTCACAAGCTTTCAGTGTCAAAAGAAACATATACTAAGTACCTGACACTTCCACTAACTAGCTTCAAAAGGCAGAAGAATCAGCTACATTATAATGCTCATCCTTTCAAATTATTATTTTTCTAGAATGGTAATCGTTAGATGACCAAAGCTTTCATAAGACTATTACTCCATACAGTAAACTTAATCAAACTGTCTTAAGATACATATATTAATTTTTTTATTATTTCATGAATTATTAAAATTTAAAGCTTAGCATATTCTTACAATATTTTTTATCATCTTTCAGTAAAAACTAAATGCTTTCATTTAATGACTGTAATAAGATTAGATCTAATAGTAACAATTCTGTTCGAACACCTCAGCAGATATTTCTACATGGATTCGTCAGCTCTTTTGAAGACAAATTTTGATAAAGAACTTCTTTCAATAGTATCCTGACATAATTTGTATTTCAAGATAGATTCTACTAGCTGACAGTCTGAGACAACTGCCCAAGTTTCGCACACTCATGCATGATTATTTAACTCTTCTTATAATGAACTTCAATAGGTATACAACATTAAAAATCACACTTTAAATAATGTTATTTTTACTTATTACGCATACCATTTCGTGAAGAACCCATCAATTCATCTAACATCCGCCGCATCTGATCGTGAGCTGTCATTTTCAAGCACAGTATAAAAATATTAGTACAGTTTAACGAAAGTTTAGTTCTATCAACCAAACAAGTTTAAATAATCACAGAACACTCGCTTCACAGTAAATAATACACCTATTGCCATTTCTTTTTTCCTTTCTTTTCGTTACTGATCGCTCAAGATCTTGTTCAAACTTTTCTGCTGTTTCTATGAAGAAAACTCATTTTTTTTGCTTTATGTAAATTTTGTATCTCGACCTTTTAATAAATCTGATAGTCTTGATATTATAACAATGTTTTATTCCAATCGTTTGACATATTAACGCCCAACATATTTAAAAAAGTCTTTCGAAGAAAGTTCCCTTTGTCATATGGCAACAAAAAAGTTGTGTTTTCGAGAAAACGCTTATAAATCAGAGTTTTACAGAATTCCGGAAATCGGAACCCGGAAGTGTGTTCTACGTCATCACCGGATATGTACCTTTGATATCTCCGTTGGCAACAAAGCTTGGCGAGCATTTGGCGTTATTTTTTTCTCGCGTAAATTTTCCCGCAAGCTCAAGAATTGGCGCCAATTTAGTTCAACGTGTTAATTAGCGAGCTGTGAGGTGTGTAGGTATTTTTTGCGCCATTTTTTCTCGCTTCATTTGAGCTATTTACTTCTTTTCTTTAATTAATAATTATTTGTATTTTGTTATATTTATGAATAGTGTTTGATTTGATTTTCATTTAATTTATAGTTGCTTTTTACTTACAGCGTATTTAATTATAACTAAATTACTGACCTGTGTTTCGATTTGTAGTTGTTTGTTTTGCCTATATGCAACCAAAAAAAGATGAAATTACTTATAATTCGAGATTCAATGGTTAAATATTTGGATGAATATATTTACCGGCGAATCTTCTGAATTATGAAATTGATTTGCATTCTTTTCGTGGTGCAGTGATAGAAAGGTTAAGACGCAAGATATCCTTTTTGGACAATCAATACCATTTGATTTTGGTACGTGTTGTACCAACAATTCGGATGACAGGGTTGAAGTTGTTCTTAAAAAGTACGATTGCCTCTTTAAGGATATTAAACGTTTAAACCTGAATATCAGTGTTGTCATTTCAGATATCCTACCATGTGGTGAAGACTTTTTCACAATTTTAAATTAGCGAGTAGCAGCTTTGAACCGTTTGCAGGTAATTAATGAGAAAATTTACAAATTAATTCTCAACTTGAAAGTACTGCCAAAATCGAGAAGCGTTTTTTATTTGCAGGTCTCTCATCATTTGGAGCTAGTTATTGGCTAGGGATGGATTACATCTAAACCGTCTGGGGAACAAGAAACTTACAGCAGTTTTCCTGGATAATATCAAGATTGTTTTGACTTCAAAGCCAGTTTCTACAAAGGTAAATCCTTTTGTATTGCCTTGTGTTTCATTAACTGCATTGAATTTTCCACCTGTGAGTCATTCTTTTGTTTTTGCAAGCCCGTCTTATCCTCTCTATTCAACTGTTTTGAAGCATAGTTTTGCTGTAGATGCTACTAAGAAGGCTAATTCTGATTTAAGAAATGCTGCTAAAGCTGCTTCTGGCTCTCGGCTGAAGAGTGTTGCTATTCCTGATGCTGGATCTCGTTTTAAATGTGTTATCTATGGTGGTGACGCTTATTCAAGAAGAATGCTCTTAATCCCACAGATGGTTTCCAGTTTGCATCTGCAAACTGATACCACCCCTGGACTCACATCCCAAAAACGTTGCCAACCCAGATGCTAGCCTCTCCGGTCTCTTTCCATTGCTGGCCATGGTGGTGGATCTTGCCAAAAGAACGCTTAATGTCCGATAGAACTGGTTCTGGTTTGCATGTGAGGAACGAGACTAAACCTAGGATGTCATCCTAGAAATGTTGCCATATGTAGTGTTGGCTCTCATTTTAAGTATGTCAATGGTTTTAGTTCACGTCCAAGGAATGCTGCCGTCCCTCGTTCTGGTTCTGATTTGCGTCCAAGGAACGTTGCTACCCCAGGCCTAAGTCCTGAGAATGTTGTCATTCTAGACTTGTTGGTGTCCGTGATACTGGCTGTCATCCGAAGAATGCTGCTTCTGGTTTGCATTCAAGGAATAACGTCACTCCCAGAATGGAAGAATAGAAATGATATCCTTGCTGATGTTGACTCCTCCAGGCGTGTTGCAGTCCATGGTTCTGGCCGTTTTCTGAGGAGCAGTGCTAGTTCCACTGTTAATTCTTCTACGAACACTACTGTTTCAATTGCTAATTTTCAGAAGAAACCAATTCGTGCTTTTGGTGATGGTTTGTGTCCAAGGAGGGATTTGACTGTTAGTGGCAGTTTGCATCTGAAGAATGTTGCTTCAGCTGTTTTGCGCCTAAGAAGTGTAATGGCCTACATGGGATCATCACTAAAGAATGCAGTCACTGCTGCTGGTTGTAGTGTACAGCAGGCAAGTGCTGTTTCTTTCAGTGATTGTTATCCATTGTATTGTGCTTCTGTTAGTGGCAAAGGGAGTTTAAAAAATGATTCAAACAAATTTTGATATTTCACAACCTAAATTGTGTACAACAAAAGATGATTTTTACTCTGACTTGCCTCTAGTTATGTTTGCAGCAAAAGAACTTTCTATGACCAGAAAAAGCACTTCTTGTAGTTCAGGCCTAAGTTTCTTTCACTTTAATAAATTTTGTTTACTAAAAGATCATGTAGAAAGCAGTGAAATTAATTGTCAAGTGAGGGAAAAATAAGTCTATGTGTCCTATTCTGACTGGAGGGGGGTCCGAAAATTGACTGTAATGCACCATCGCTTTACCTAGAAAATGTGATATTTGTAAAAAAAAACTATAAAACTAAAATTCTTTTAATAATCATAAAAAAATTGCAAAGAAAAACTTGAAACTGAAAATTTTAAACTTTCAATAACTTCTCCTCAGAGTAATATTTTTATAAACATGATAATGTATTGAGTGTTAAAAAATTAGAAACCAAAGAATGTATAATGATAAAATAGAAATGGCTTATCTTCGTAAATGTGAAATATGCTTGAAAACTTATAAATCGAAGAATTCATTTTATAACCACAAAAAAAAAAAAAAAAATGTTCAAATAAACAAGTACCTGATTTAAAACAAAATTTTTCATCTGTTTACCCTCAGAAATGTCTAAATTGTGATAAATGTTATCCTTGCAAATTATCATTTTTTAAACATAAGAAATTTTGCACAAAGTTAATAAATTGTATGTATGCTTCATACCTGATTGCATAAGTCTTTTACATATGTTTTAAATTTTAATAAGCATTTAGCAGATGAACATAATTTAAATAACATAAAGAATATTCATTTGAAACAATGAGTTATTTTCAAGATTGGATAGAACTGGAAGGAACCTCGACATTTACTTCATTCAGAAAGTTTTCTAAAGTAACGAAAAATTCTAAACTTATCATTATTATTGTTGTCAGTTTACCACGCAAGGTTATTCTGATTTAAAAAAAAAACTAGTCGGAAAAGTGGAAAAGGTACAATTTCAAAAAATGTATGCTGTCCAGTCAGAATATGGGCTTGTGAAGAAATGAATAAAATCTCTTTTTTTTTTTTTTTTTTACTTTCCTAAACATAATCATGAGCAAAAGTTTGAAAATTGTAAATAACAGCCATTGAAACAAAACATGCGATGTTTGATAAAAGCAAATTTACGTTTGTCTGTGCCTCCACAAAAAATAAGGGATATCTTACAAGAATGGATCAGGAAATCGCGAGAATAGAAATAATTTCCCTGTAAAGGAAAGCTTTGTCTCCCTTAAAACTATTTTTGCTTATTCTAGATATTTAAACAATTCATTGCGTCCAAATAGTGATGCAGTTTCTGTTAATTAGATCATTGAAACTGTAAAATGTGAAGCATACAATCCTGTGTTATTATGTAAGCCTCAGAATAATTCAACTTTGTACTGTCCAACTGATCTGGATAATCTTCCAAATCATAAAGTATCGTTTGCTCTTGGTCTTCCGACACGTGAACAGAAAGAAATGATGATAAAAGGTTGTACAGAGATTTTATGCATCGATTCTACACATAAGACTAACCAGTATGATTTTTACCGTCTTAATCTTATAGTACCTGATGAATTTGGTTGTGGCTATCCAGTTGCTTCATTTTATTACTAATTTTCTAGATGCTGACACTCTTTATTGTTTATTTAATAAAGTGTCGTTTACCAAATTTATATGTAAACTGTATGAAGACAGATGATGACAAAGTTACATATCCTGCATTTTCAAGGGTTTTTAAGAAAAAATGTTAAGCATCTTTTATGTTCGTAACATGTATGCCAAAATTGGTTCCTGCAATAACTTAATTCTTAAGTGGTAGATAAAGAAGTACGACAAAAAATGCTAGGAGAATTAACAAAAATATTACCTGAAAGAAACCAGATCACTTTTCATGATCAAATAAGTATGTTTTTGAATGACTATTCTGGGAAAAGTAGAGATTTTATTGAATATTTTTCTGAAAATTGTAAAAATAGATTAGAAGAATGGGCTTTATGTTATCGGAACTTTCCACATGCATTTACCAATCCTGACATGTACTGTGAATCTTTTCACAATCAGCTGAAAACTGTTTAAGCGGAGACATAATAGACAATTAGATATTCTAATTTCTACACTTCTGACAATTGAGAAAGCTAAATATTTAAATCATACCTATAAATTATACACTAATGTATCTCCCAGAAATTCCATTTCTTGTTTCTTAAGTAGGCATCAGAGAGGACTAAAAATTAGGGACAGTGATGTAAATAAATGCTCTGAATTCTTGGACTGTTTGTTCCAGACAAAAATAAAATATATACTGTGCAGCGTCTTTTTGAAATTTGTCCGTGTCAGGATTTTTGCTTTATAGATGCCCAAAGTATCATGTGTCTCATTGTGTAGTCACTTGTATCACTGCAATTGCTTAGATAAATTGCTGTGCAAACATATACATAAAGTGCATTCATTCGTTAATAGATAAAATGATTGTATGTTTAATCCCTCAGGGATTAATCTTGAATCGAATCAGAAATGCAATGAAAATATGAAATCGAATAAATGTGCATTCTGTTAATCATTACAATCCACAAAGTACTGAACAGAAAGTAAATGCATGTGAAAAGTTTGTAGAAGAATTACTGCAATTAATAAGACAACCAAAAGTCCAAAATGTCATGTTAAAGTGAGTTCATACAACATTAAATTCATTAGTTTCAAGAATGTAGAGGAATTTTAAAACTCGAATGAAAATTCAAGAGCAGTTTCAAGTGCAA